GGGGCAGGGGGGCCGAAATGCAGTCGGGCGGGTGGCTGAGGGTAGGCATGGCACTTGCAGGGGCGGCGGTGTGTATGAGGAAGCAGCTGCATTGCTGTATTGATCCATGCGGGCAAGCCCACCACACAAAGGCTTACACACCCTCAGGATTCTACATCCTCGTCCTCCCCGCACTTCCAGATTCACACCCTCGAAACTTTACTGCTGCTCCCCCAGAACACAAAACACAAGGTGCTTTCAGCTATGACTTACGTGTGATGTGCAACCATGGAGTCATAGAAATGAGGGACATCCCCCAAGGCCATACCCCATGCGCCTGGAACAGCAGCGCACGTGCGCCCGGGGCGGGAGGAGTGCCACATCAGTGTTTATGTGTGTGTGTGTGTGTGTGTGGTGTGTGTGTGTGTGTGTGTGTGTGTGTGTGTGTGCTCGCGCGCGTGCGTTCGTACGCCAGGCAGATGGGGGCATCACTTGGGATTATACGCGGTACAAGCGCTCGCCCGCAACTCTCCCTAATGCCAAGTTTTCTACTCCACACATACACACACACACACACACACCACACAGATCCGCAACTTGCACGATCAAACCTCATGCCCACCCGAAACCCTGCACACTCACCAACGTACGCAGGCCTGCCCCCGCCCCCCAAGACAAAGTCAGCGTGCTCCTATGGCCCCCCCCTCAGCGCTCCAAACTTCACCCTCCGCCTGCACCGAGCGGGAAGGCGCCCGACTCACCGAATAGCATGATCATGCTGGCAGGGTACCAGCATCCCCATGCGCTGCACATGCACTGGTTCCAGAAATAACCCTGGCTGGCGATCAGTACTGCCCAGTGCGCGTACACCGCGGGCATGAGCAGGCGCTGGAACCAGGGCGGACGGTACCAGCACGCCACGAGCTTGTAGATGTGGTTGGGGACGGCGGCGCACAGGTAGACAAAAACCTGGGGCTCAGGTGTCACGGGTCGGTGGATTCAGAGGGTCGAGATGGGTGGGGTGAGCAGGTCCGGGGGGGCGCTGTTGCAGCTTGGGGGGGGGGCTCGAGCTGTTGTTCAGGGTGAGGCTGTACAAGGGGGCCGCGAGCCTGTTCTAGCCCCCATCTTGAACTTGTCCCTACTCACGGTGTTCCAAATGGCCTGCCCCTCCACCCCCCTAGGGGCGATTAGCAGCAGCCATGGCGTGAACCAGGCGATTGAGATCACGTGATGAGTTGTCATGAAGGTGCGGAAGCTTCTCGCGAATTCTGAGGGCCTCCGCCACAGCTGCAGGACGTCTGTTGTGTATGCGGCATAAAAGATGGCCATGAGCCATACGCGATGGGCCCCAGTGCAGGCTATGGCGTTGTCCCAGCCGCCAGGACCTGCGAGGCAGTCCAAATGAGAGGTCGGCCGCGCGTTGGTGACCGCAGCTCGCAACCCGAGCAGGGGCAACAAAAGCGAGGATAAGAACATGCGGCTGAGCTCAAGATACACTTGCAGTTCAAGAATGGTGCCAAGCTCGTGGCTCTGAGTCGTGCGCAGGGATGTTTGCCATCGAGTCACACTCTGCTCCGCCCTGTTAAAGCCCTGTCCTGGCCGCTTCCATCAGCCCTCACCAAAGTGGTGTCTGCTGAGGATGATAAGGAACGCGAAGCGTGCCATGATGCTGCTAGAAAAGAACACCTGCGACAAAGTATGGTTGCCATCGTAAGGGAGAGAGGCGCGGTCGGCTTGCGGAGGCAGCGCTAGGGTAGGTTCCTGTGTGTGCGATGGTACAGCTGGGTGGGCGTGCGAAAGCCAGTAATCAAGAGTTACAGAACCAGGGGCGTTTTCCACTCACCAGAATGAGCAAGGGGAGTGCGTGTCGAATCGTTTGATGACCGGCATTGCGCAGCCTACCCCATGCACAGCACCAGGGGGCATACGGTGTGCTCCCACCTTTTCGCCCACAAGCTTGTCGCCGAGCATCGGCCGCGCCAGGTCCTGCGCTGCTGTAATCACAGCACCTATCACAGTTGACAGCAGCAACAGGCGCCCGGCCTCTAGCATGGTCAGACCTCCATCGGCCCACGCCGGGAAGTAGAGCCCCATTCGTCGCGGGGGCCTGGGGAGCGCGAAGGCTGGGACTGAGACGTACACGCAAAACGTCACAACGATGACACATACCCACAGCACCGCCAGGCGCCTGCATGCCGCCTTTTGCATAGCAGACAAGGGCGGCGTTGGGTTTGCTGCTGCCCCATTGAATGCCATCTTGATGTCGTGAAGACGGCCAGCCTGCTTGGAGGGCACCCATGACGTGCGTGCAAGCGGGGGCGGGAGGCTTGAGCATCGTGTTCGTGAGTATCTGGGCCATTCAAGAAGTTTTCATCACGACAAAGTGACATTTGCGCCCCCGCGGCCAACTGCATCATCGCGCCCGAACATACTCAATGCGCGCGCGCACCGCGGTGCACTACGGCGAAATCGCGAGACGTATTTTGGGAGTTTACACCATAATATTTGATATTGTTTGGTCAAGTTCTGCGACGCCCTGGAGCAGTTATGGAAAAAGCTGCTGTGATGCACGGTCTCCTCGTTAGCTTGATTCGAATTTGATGCGGTAAGTAACATTAACTATGTCCCCAAATCACCGCGCTCAGAATCAGGCATTTTTGTGCTAGGGGAGGGGATTGCTAGCGGCTTTCATCACTGCTGATGCTCAGGCTCTCCTGCTGGTAGGAGCTCCGCATCGTTGGGTGGTGGTACACCCCAAAGGAATATGGAAGGTGCCGGCTCATGCCACCACACACTCAGCCTATTTCAATTGAGCAATCAGCCTACAAACATGTTTGTAAGCCTCCTCTCATGCCAGTCAAGGCTCCCCATACGCGCGATCACCAGGCGTTTTGGCAGAGCATAGGGAATCCCAGCCTTCAATTCTCCAGACATCCCATCCCGCCAACATGCAAACTCTGTCTCCTCCCTCTCTCATTACAACTTCGACCCCCCAATTTAAGCACAGCACAGGAATGCATCCGTTAATGTCAATATGGGGAGCCACCAGGGGAAGCAAGCCAGCCCGATTCAGCCGGGCACAGCCGCCGCCTGAAGCAGTTGGCGATGGCAGTTCTCATAATTGCACGCGCCTACTTGCGGTGTGCTGGTCAAACGGAGGGGCTTGCACAGTGCTGAATTGGAATCCTCAATGTGGCCAGAAACCATTGTAAACAAAACGCGTGCGCACCGCGCGCGTGCGCCAGGCTAGCCGTTGTGGCGCTGCTGGCAAGGCGCGGGTGAGGAAGCGGCAGGTCATGGGATCAAGACGGGCGCAGACGCAGCGAGCGACCGGGATGGGATAGGGTTGCACCACTTTGGGCTGCAGCGGCGAGTCTGCAACACCCTGGTAAATCCCTGCTGTTCAAAATGCTTGCAGGCGACGCCTTGACCAGACCAACGGGAAAAAAAGGTGCGAAAAACCATGTGGCACAGTGATTGCACGCAATCACAACAGAGCTGTACGGCGCAAGGTGCCGGGCTGTGCTACCAGATCAATCAAAGAGGGGTCAAAAGGGTCA